TTTTCCATTTGACTCAGCTTTTTGCACACCACTGTCTAGCCCTGCCCCCCTGCGGGAGTTGAACAGATGATACCCATTCATGGTCAGTGACTAGAGTGCCCTTATAGAACAACATTGTTTAGAGCTGTCTTTATATGTAGACTTGTAGAATCCATGGACAAAGCCACAGAATAATAATGGGTTGAGAGATCCTGAAGCAACAGCAACAAGGTAAAATGGTGCAAGTAACAAACCCGGCTTAGCAGAAAATCGAAATTTTCAGAGAGCGAATCTTGTGAGTATACAGAATACAGGTTTCATCGAATTTATAAACCAACAGAAGCAGATAATGAAAAAAAATACACATTATCTAAAGTTTCCACTGTACCTTCTTCATCAATTACATTTACCCTACAAGAAAAGTTCAGCACACACCTTATGGAAGACCTGAAGTATAATCGGCCGATACTCAACAGAGTTCATGGACAAATAACAATTCAACACACAACGAAGTTCCTTAGTACCATTAATCCTATTTGCAGTAATTACCTCTAACATCGATACTTTGAAGTCCTCGCTAGGGTTATATGAATACTTGTCCATTGCTACCATTATGATACAGTTTGTATGACTACTACTATCAATTCTTCCCTTCTTTTTCCTCATCTCATATCTTGTTAATCTTTCATTGATCATTTGATCTAGCCTTTCCTGAACCATTGCATGAGCTATAGTTGATATTGGCGCAAATCGATCTGAACCCAAGCTTTCCACACTGTTGTCAGAAGAAGACACACTAGGTCTACAACTACAACACAAGGACCTGCACCTCTGCAGTTTGTTTCTCTGCTTATTCTTCATTTCTTCTGTTATTCTTAGAGGAAAGCCAAGGGAGCAGGAAGGAATGTATGTAACAGTAATCATTTGTTTTACAAGTGTAAAGGAAAGGCATGAGGATTAAAGCATTAAACATGTTGTTTTGTATATAACTTTATATTTCTTTTTAGTTATAAGTGATCATGATGTTTAGAACAATATTATCTCTTTAGATTATTGTAAGAGTAGTACTGTTAGGTGGCTTCACCTTTATCAAGCAAATATGATTGAATCCTATAGATGTGTTTGCTTTTGCAGTTTGCACCGCCACTGTCTAGCCCTGGCCTCAGGGGATTCACATTGAAGGTTAGTTATAGAGTGACTGCCATTGTCTAGCCCTGGCCCCATTCAAGTTCAGTGAGTAGAGAGCCCTTATAGAAGGAACTTGTTAGTTGTTACCATCTCATAACCATGCTAAAACCATGGCTGTTTAGGGTTCCATTCAAGGTCAAAAAAATGTTTAGGGGTGCCACTCAAGGGACTAGAGGAGATTTTCAGAGTTAATCTTGTGTTGTATATATACAGGTTTAATTCATGTAATCTTGTGCTATAATTAGTGATTTAATATTTAAATTATATGATGTCCACATTAAAGTCCATACCTCTTTCCTCCACTGGTAGAATGCTGTTTATATCACTTTGGAGAGAATTATATTTTGGTTGAATGTTAAAAATTCATTAATTAATTTGCTAAAAATCACAATAAATCTCATGAAGTTTTAAAAAAGATACTACAAAAATATAGATTATATAGAAAAACAAAAGTACTTGTAAAATCAATATTCATCTTGATTAGTTTCAAGATTAAAACCCAAAATATTATTAAGTTCAAAATTCAATACCATTCTTTAAAAACAGTTTCAAAATTCAGATTAAATCAAATATCAAAACCAAAAAAGATTAGATCTAACAAAGTTATTGTAAGATATATGTGGCGTTTCCAGGATATCATGGCATTGAAAAAGAAGCCATGTATCAGGATAACCACATTATGAAATTATATATGGCGTCCAAGCCATTATACCATGAGAAACCTTTTTCATCCCCATGAATTGGTAAAGGACGCATCGCATTTCAGAAATAAAAAAAAAAAATTGATGATTTGATTGGTGCTCAGACAGCCAAGGGTTAGTCTTCAACTTCTGGGTAATACCCAGATCAGAAACTCTAGTCCATATATAAAGACTTCATCACCACACCAATCTTGCTTTTCAATCTAACAAATTAAAAAAAAAACTTTTTAACTAAAACAAAACATGAACAAGAAGAAGAATTCAAAATTAAATAGAATACATAGCAGGATGCAAAAGCATAAATGATGAAAGAATTGATTCATATTAGGGTTTATGAGATTAAGTAACTGAGGTGAGATGTTTATATAGACATTTTTAGAATTAGGGTTTATCAGTTTAAGATCTAACGGTTTTGATAATCTGTGTCTTCTGGGTTTATTATAATCGTAGCCGTCAATTTTGACTGTTTTTTTTTTAAAGAAAGGGCCCATAATATGCATTTTGGCCCAACTATATAGTGAATCCAAGCTTTAACTTGGTGGGCCGAATCTACATATCAGATTAGTACCTCTTATCAAAGAATTCCATGAAATCTTTTAGATCTATAAAATCACCTCAATCCCGTAATATTTCTTTATAAAAACCAAAATTTCAAACAATTCTATTAAAAAAAATATTTAAATTAATCTGACAATCAGATTTGTTATTAAAAAAAAGACTTGTAACGTAATTTATAGCGCATATTGTTCTTTATTTTTGTATAATTCTTCGAATTTAT